AGATAGGACTAAGCACAAATACTTCAGAAATAATACTACCATATTTTGTCCTGAACATCACAGCTGTCTGTGGTTGCCATAAATACAGATCACTTATTTTCTATTTTGAAAAAACTTTCATTTCAGTGTTCAGCCACTGCTTCTTGTGGAAGAAGCTGTTGCTCTTTACTTCCCCTGATCCTCAGTGAAGCACAAATTCATAAACAAAGTCCAGCTGTTGCAAACAAAATACATTAAATACATATTATACATATTATTACATCAATTTGTCTTGACTTTAATAAATATCCAGGAATGATAAAGCTACAGTAAAATGAAATAAGAGCTTCAAAGACTTTTGGTAGAAGAACACTAATTTGACTTATTTAGCTGAGCCTAATATATATAGGCCAAATTGATAACATAATTTATAATAATTCAATATATATTTCCAACACAAAGGGAGTAAATGTAAATGAAAGATGAAGATTTCATTAGAAATGTGAAAGGTGCATCAGTATTTACAGTTGGGCTACATAATATCACCAGTTCAACAAAAACTGACTATGAATATCAGCTAGAAATTTGCACAGGCAGTGGGTTTTTTTGTAGGGAAAGCAGCCCTGACTTGGTGGATAAGAATTTTTACCTTCAAAATACCTTTTTAATTACTAGATTTTGTGTTCTAGAGTAAATAAAACTTAGATGCTTTTTGACTTAGATTAGGCAATGGAGTTCATTCAACCAAAAATGAAGAAATTGTTTTAAGGAACTCATCATAAAAGGAAGTGAGCTATGCTCCAAGTGGTGAAGAGAACAACACTGCTCAGTGGTCACATCGTTACCAGCAGGTCTGGTGTCATTCATCCACACTAGAGGAGCTGTAATTTAATTTCCTCTTCAGCCTGAAGGACATGCAGAAGAGAAATAAGATCTACTGGTGTAGGAGAATTTGATGGTGAAATTTTCACCTTTTTTTAGCTGTACTTTGCACAGATTTTTCAAGGAGGCTATGAGCCTTGACTCACAAGGCGTAACAAAGGATTGGTGCCCCCTGCCATAGGAGGCAATTGGAGGGAATTACCCTGATTACTTGACAGCAGCATAAAATGTAGGTTAGGAACCACTTTCAGCGGTTTTGTGAAATCATTTCCTTGGCATTTGTTATGGTATCTGAAAACTAACCAGAAATGTCAAAATATTTTAGATGCTTCATGAGACAAACTATTTTGACGATTTGAAACTGTTATCATTTTCGCTTAATCTGAAACTCTTTTTTCAAATTTGTCCAAATTTTTAAAGCTTCAAATACCATCTCTTGCTACTCTGTAGCAAGAGAATTTCCCCAGAATTTCCGTAATTATAAATAACAAGATTGCCCTACAAAGATCCAAAGCAGTTATATCTCTTATGTACTTAACCATCATTAATAATCTTCCATAGCAAGATGTTCTTCTCTAGACTGTTTTTTCAAGTTTCCCTTCAGTTTCCACTAATCATCACCAAATGCTATCTACCTTGCTGTATAATTTAGATTTTCTTTCTTTTGCCTTTCCTTGCTAGAAGCAAGGCACAGGTGGCTCTGTTCTTATCTGCCCACTTTGACTCTCTTGCAGACTCACCAATTTATAGTAATCACTCTTCTAAGAAATGCAATATGTAAATAGAAAGGACACCACATGAAATTTAAATTTCACCCTGTGAAGAAAGTTGTCATTTATTGTGGGGAGAAGAACAATAAATCAGGTTCACTTTCATGAATGATATCAGAAAACAGATTTAGCTTTAGACTGTCTGCACTGACTTTATTTAGCAGTGTGCACTGATGACCTATGTCCTTCTAAACTGCGAGAACAGGAAGCATCAAGCAAGGCCACCTAAAGCTGAATGGAACCTGCCAACAAGAGAGATCTGTAGGTCCAGCCAATACCACAACCCAGCCCCAGTCCCCAGCTGGAGGAAGATATGAATCAGCTTCTCAAAGCTTATCAGCCACATCTTCTTTGTGCAAAACATGGTGCAACTCTGCATATGTCCTTCTCTCTTTAGATGTGGCAGGAAACAAGAACCTGCGCAAAACCAAGTCTTATCTTCCCAAAAAATCCCAGATGGAGTACCTGCAATGAAAATCTTTCCATATGTTTGTCATACACAGCTAAAACAGCACAGAGAAAATCATAATAAAATGCAGTATGCATTGTAAGCTTTGAAATGTTGCTCTATGAGCATTAAAAGGAACATCAAGTTCCCAGGCTCCTCTAAATCTGTGCTCTTTTCATGCCCTGAACTATAATATCAGCCCCAGCTTATGAGCTGGTTCTGCTGAGATGGCAACCAAAGGCATGATGGAATATCTGAGAGCCCACTAGCCACCATCCACTGGCCAGCCTGCTGCTATGGCCATCTCCTTCTGGACATTGAGCAGAGTAATCCTTCTCTTCCACTGCATTTTCTCTGAACTGGGCTTTCTCTTTTACCTTATGGTAGATTTCACAAAAATGTCAAGAAGGTATTACATATAAATTAAATTTCTACCCTTCCATCCTGTAGTTACCCTCAAAATGTATGTAAAAAGGCTGGAGCAGTGGTTCTCTCTGCACAGCAGCCCCTTGGGAGATGTATTGAGTTTGTGTGGTCAGGTTTTGGTAGTGCAGGAGCTTTAAGGGTGGCTACTCTGAGAAACTGCTAGAAGTTTGTCCCATATCCAACCAAACCAATGTCAGCCAGCTCCTCCAAGATGGACCCACTTCCAGCCAAGGCTGAGCCCATCAGCCATGATAGTAATGCTAAATAGGAAAAGAAAAGTTATTGGTACAGAATTAATTGCAGACAGAGAAGACAGAATATGAGAATATGGGAGAGAACCAACACAGCAGACACCAAGGACAGCAAAAAAGGAGGGGGAGAAAGTGCTCCAGGCACCAGAGAATAGATATTTGCAGCTCATTATGAAGTCCATGGTCAGGCAGGCTGTCTCCCTGAAGCCTTCAGAGTTCCACAGGGGCTCAGAGATTCACCTGTAGACCCTGGGGGAGCCCCACATGAGAGCAGGTGGATGCTTGAAAAAAAGTTGTGATTTTGTGACTTTGTGGGAAGCCCAGGCTGGAGCAGGCTCCTGGCAGGGCCTCTAGCCCTGTGGAGAGAGGAGTCTATGAGATCTGGTTTCCTGGCAGGACTTGTGACCTCACAGGGAACCCATGCTGGAGCAGCCTTTTCTTGAAGAACTGCAAACCATAGAAAAGGAACCACACTGAAGCAGTTTGGGAAGAACTGCAGCCCGTGGGAAGAAGTCATGCTGAAGGAATTCATGGAAGATTGTCTTCTGTGTGAGGCACTCCAGGCTAGGGCAGGGGAAGGACTCCTCTTCCTGAGGAGGAAGCAGTGGCAGAAACATGTGATGAATTGCCTGTAATCCCCATTGCCATCTCCCTGCTAGCTGTGGGGAGGGAGGTAAAACATCAGGAAAAAAGTTATGTCTGGGGAGGAAGACGGCTGGGGGGAAGGTATTTTTAAGATCTGTTGTATTTTTCATTATCTTACTCTGATTTTGACTGGTAATAAGTCAAATTAACTTCTCCAAGTACCATGATAGCAATCAGTGAGTGATCTCTCCCTGCTGTTATATGAACTCATGAGCATTTCTTTACATTTTGTCTCCCCTGTCCAGTTGAGGAGGGGAGTGATAGAGAGGTGGATGCTTGCCAGCCAGACATGTTAAACCATCACAGGAATCCACCCTGTCCTCTACCCCCATCTTTCCAGGGACAGAGCACTCATTCATGGCAGTCAAGATTTTGGCTGCACCTCAAGCAGCACATTTGGCAAGGACTTGGCACCAGCAAAATTTGTGCTCCAAGTGCTGTTTTAGTCCCACATGCGTACCATACTCCTCTTCACTCAGCAGGACTTCTCTCCCATATGCACTGGAGAGTAGCTGGGTGCATTTTCTACTCTTCAATGTCATTTCCGGTGAGCATTTTATCCTCACAGAATCCAAAAGTTGTGCTGCTCCTGCCTGAGGCAGCTGTCCTGCACCACCATTTCCAGCTTGCCTGGGTCCCTCACCGTTATGAGGGGCTGGCAAGGCCCCAGGCTGACCCTGCTCTCTGGGGAAGGCCCAGGTCCTCCCAGGCCCAGGTCTTCCTGCTTCTTCAAAGCAAGACCCTGCTTTGTTCTCTTTCTCTGTCCTCCCCATGAGGGAGGATGCTCTTCCCCCAACCACTTCAGGAAGGCTATGGCACACTTTCCCTGACCTCTCCCGGGTCCATCAGCACGTCACTGCTGGTGGGACTATAGCTGTGCTGTGAGGGCCCCAATGAAGGAGGAGTGATGAGGAGGACTCCATTGATATCAGAAGACTAATTAATTACTTTATCATACTATATTATTCTATACATCTAAAACTGAACCTGCCAAGCACTCAACCCTGCACACAACTGCTCTGCACTGCACTCAATCTCATGATTGTCACCCCACAGTCCTGACACACACACGCACTTGGCCCTGATAGGCCAAGGAAAAAAACACCATCTCTTTGGGTAAACAATCTCCATGCTGTATTCCACTTTGGTACAACACAAATTACAAGAATTGTGTTTTCTTTCTCTGATGTTCAGAGAATGTGAAACCCAGAAATATTCTTGGGAAGAATCATGCCTTGCTTTTCTCTGTGAAGAGAAATGTGAGGCTACAGTGGGACAGTGCTCAGTCAGTGACTGTCCCCTGGCTGCTGTCTGGCCCCTGAACCCCACTGGGGTAGTGTTTGGGTTGCTCAGTGGCTGAAGGCCAACGCAGGCATGGCAGTGAGGTGGCAGGAGGTGGGGGATACCCTTTGGAGCTTTGGGAGGTTCTGCACAAGAGCCGCTGCAGCTGCTTCAGCTCTGAACTTCCCACCCTGGGGCACGCTCCCTCAGGGAGCCCACGATGGACAGACTGTTCAGATGTGACAGATTTTGCATCGGGTAAAAGAATGTTTCATGGCAACACAGGTAGAACAGAACTCTTAGATATGAGGGGATTTTTTCCTTTTCAGTTACAACTTTTATTTGCTGACTTCTCTTCCAGAAAATCATCATTGCTATGTACAGCAAATGCATGCATCTGTATTTACATAATTTTCTATCATATTCTTGCAAAATTGCTATTCAGTTATGATAAATATATGCAATCTTTATCATATCTGGTACTGATATTTAAAAACCTGACACTGGAGTGGAAACAAGGACAGATTGTATCAGCCAAGGCAGTACTAGTTTCATGTGCCCTATTAATGATCTCCTCAAGGGATCTTCATCTCCTGCTTCTGTCTATCTCACTGTCCCACAGTGATTGCAACAGTGGTAAAACTCACTCAATAAGCAGAAAATCCACTGAGGATTTGCTGAAGAGTCAGGCTGAGTAAAACAAATTGCATTTATTATAAATATTCCTATATTCATAGTGAGTCAAATACCACCTCAGTAAAAATTTTGGCTGAATTACATCAGATTCTGCTCTTTTTTTAGACAATAACTTCTAACTAATTTCTGAAACTATATATGTGCATATTTGAGCTGGTAAATGCATTCCTAAGGAATCTTTGCTAGCAGTAGCTAAATACAAAGAAATGCTTCATATTTTGTCACCTATCACATGCCAACAAATTGTGTTGGAATAATTGCAGTTTAATCCAGTTAGTTGCCTTTTAAAAAACAGAGTGTGTATTTCAGCTAGAAAGAGGCAACTTTTCACAGATATATTCATCATGTTATCGGCTTTGTTGGATTCCAGCATCTGAATCCTGCGCCAAACAATGAGAGGAAACTCTAGCAAAGTTTCACTCTCTGCTCAGAATAGCATTGGTCAAAGATTTATAAGACCAAGCACTCAGCTATGTCAGCAGTCCTGAGCCTGTTTGTTTTCATTTTGCAGTTTGCATTCCTTGTCATGCTTTGCTCAAATGCCATCTCTTTGGGTTAGTATTGTCACAATGTGACCTGTCTGCAATATAAGCACAGTGGAGAGCTACACTTCACTAGGATTTCCAGGCAGAAGTAATTAACAGAAACAACATAAATGTAAGAAAAAGCCTAGACATAACCTTATTCATTTACTTATTATTTTGGGGATATTTCAATGTTGTGGGATGGATGAGATGCAATTTTTCCTTACACAATGACAGGGGTTCCTCTTTAAATTTCACTTTCTTTATAATTTCTAGAGGATGTAGTTTAGAAGAGCATTAAGAGAAGTGAATATCTTTAGTTTTACACAGAAGAGTATTATTCCTTTATCTAAATTAATTTCCTGAAAGAATGGTGTAGATCAGTGGATCTCATTTAGAGGCACAGAGAAGCTCAGATGACTTGCTGTCACATGCACAGTGACATTGGTTTGGGTTCCATGGTGAGAAGACTCCTTTAGTCCTAATGTTGTTCAAATTGTATTATATAGTAAAAGATGATCCATTGTCAGTCAGAATTTCACTAGTCTGTCTTGAATGATAAGTATCAGAGTTTGTCCTTGAATTACGTTTATTGTCTTTCTTGTGTCTCTTGCACCATAGGTCCTTCATTAGCTTCACGAAATAACTTCTGAACTTCACTCCAATAAATGCATAGAGCACAGGGTTCACACAGCAGTGTAAAAATGCTATGGCTTCAGTGATGTATTTTGCGTAAGCCATTATCTTGTCACTGTCACAAGATTTGTCAATCTTGCCCATGTTGACAGCTGTTATGAGAAGAACAATGTTATAAGGTACTTGGCAAGCTAGGAAAACAGCTACAATTAATACAATCACACGAATTGCTTTGTTTCTTTTGGAATTCTGAGCTTGTTGTAAGGATTTGACAATGAAGGCGTAGCAAAAAAGCATGAATATGAAAGGTATAAAAAATCCAAATGCAACTTGTAGCCATAGCAGCAGCGATTTCAGCGTTGTGCTTTCAGACATTCTGGCAGATCTGTGATCACAAATCTCTTTGGTTTCATTCATGGAGAAGCTGTAACTTTCATTGTACAGAAAAGACGGACTAGAGATTAAAATTGATGATATCCACACTGCCAAACAAATGAGTTTACTATGTGCAAGAGTCCTTGCCCTGAGTTTAAAGGACTTTGTTGCCTGTACGATAGCAATGTACCGGTCCACGCTGATAAAGGCCAAAAGCAGCATGCCACAGCTGAAGTTGATTGCATAGATACCTCTAGTCATTTTGCAAATGAAATCACCAAAAAGCCATTCATCAGCAGCGTAATTCACTGCCCACAGGGGAAGAGTAAGAACAAACAGTATGTCTGCTATGGCCATGTTGAAGAGGTACACATCCGTCATGGACTTGGCTCTTTCATATAAAGCAAAGGTCATCACCACAAAGATGTTGCCAAAGAGGCCGATGATACAAATCAATGAGTATGCAATTGGCAGAAATGCTTTTGTGAAGTTCCTGACTTCCAGCTTAGAACAAGGTGGTGTGATCAGAGACGCATAGTCTGAATAATAGGGGTAATCTGTGGTACGAAGGTCTGTCTGTAGCAAAGGAGAACACCAGTCAACACACAGATGTTTATCTTTATGGTAGAAACATTATAAATAACTGGCCACACATTCCAATTACAAATGCATTTAACATTACAGACAAGGCTCGTAAGAACTATCTAGGCAATTTCATTAAATCATACTTAAAATACAAATGTGGAAATAATCCTTTTGCATATCCCAAAGGCCCTAATATTTAAATACATTGTGCAGAAAGGACAAATCTGCTGTCACAGAAGACTCTACAGTGTAAAATTCTGAATTCAAATTAGGCGTCTAGTCTTCCTTTACCATCACACAAGGCAAACAGGCTTTTCTAGCATGCTATGCATTTCATACTAATGTAGTTGACTAAATCAACCCCAAAACTGATTACTTCTCTCTACCAGCTAGAGAGGCAGTCTATGATAGCTAGCCTGACATTTACCTTTACCACAAACACCACACCTGTAGTGAAAATCCAATAAACAGTGTGCTTTGACAGTGAACTCTGCTGACAGAAACATCTTTTCAGATTTTCACTCCTGAAAATACAGTGTTTGGATCTGCAGCCTCAAGGAACTGGGTCTTATAGAGTCATTGTTTTATTGCTATACTAACACAGTTTATCAATTAGGTACTTACAAAATTCATTTTGGCAGTACACTTCTCAGAAAAATATGTTGAGAAGGACCTCAAAATATTTTCCCAAGTATTTCTGAAAAGAAAATAAAGTAGATTGGATCAGAAAACCAGCATAAGAAGTCTGAACGAGTAGAAAACAAAACTGGGAATAAAACCTACTCAAAACAGAATCTCATCACTGGAGCATGTTAACAAATCACACATCTCTACAAAATGTGCAGTTGTAGAAAGAGAATAGGTTTTATCAGTATTATTAAGAGCACAGACTTAAGTATTGAATGTTTTTTCATAGGCTAATAGATGACATATGAGAATATGTGACCGCTATTTCACATTAAATTTGCACACAAGAAATTAGAATAAATTAAATTTTACTTTGAGAACTTCTGTATGACAATGGCAATCCATGTATAGAGGGAAATATGGAAAATATAAACGGCACTCCCTTAGTATACTTCATAACAGTAATGCAACATTTTACCCTTTCTCCCAGTCTGACCCTTTATCAGTGTCTCAGCACTTTCAACATATTATTTGTCCTTTTTTATTACACTTATGAAGTAATAGAAGAGCAAAAGAAAAATATCTTCTTATAGTGTAAAGGATAGTACCCAATGTATGAACAGACCAAGTACTCGTATTTTGTCTTTGCTCAGTGCACAGATTTACCGTGCAATGTTCAGTGTGCAGTTCAGACAGCACACTAAGAAAAATATTGGGTTTTTTATCACTGTGATACCTAACTGTTTTACAGATGGGGCTTACTTAATTTGCACAATGCCCTGTTGTGAAGAAGTATTACCACCTTTGTTTAAAAGTGAGAATCTGAGTCATTAGAGTTAAGTATCACTTAAGATGTTCAGTTTGAGACATGTATCCTCCTCAACATCACTTCTAAGAGTACTCAAAATTATGAAGGACTTCAGCTAGGTAAAGGATTAAATCCACTGACTGTTTGCATCCAGGATTAGACTTCTGCAAATCAGATCACAGAGTCTAAAGCCACAGAAAAATAAAATGGGGAACATGCCGTTGGTTACCACACGCGGGAAGCTGGGCTTAAATAACTTGTTCCACCTCACACAGGAGCTCATGGGCAGGAGATTTCATTCCTCAGACTCCCCTTGCATGAGTTAAGCCCTTTCCTTCTTTCCACTAGCTGCTGTCTGAGAGCTGCACCTACCAGCAAAGCAGTGTTTAAGCATTAATTTCAGGGACAGGATGACATGAAGTCCCATATTTGTCAAGGCTGTGAAGGCCAGTTTTGTCTAGAGTTTTTCTGCTTTTTTGCTAGCTGTGTCACCAATTGGGAAGAGAACATGGGTCAGCTTTAAGTCTACAAAACCAAAACCTTCTTGTTTGGGAATTACCTAATGTTGAAAACGAGAGAGAGAGAATTTGTAAAAGTGGGGCAGATGAAGTCCAGATACAACGGGGAAATTGGGGAAGGGAAAGGACAGAACACTCTCCAAAAGCATAATGAGGATTACTCATGTGGGGATGCTGGCTTATTAACAGAGGGCTGCAACTGGGTAAAGACCTAAACTATATATGATGTAGCTAAGGCATCACAGCTTATCTGGATTTCCTGCCCTTTAAACAAATCTTTAACTATCTCTCCAGCTTTGTCTGTTGGCTTTTCAAAACTGATTTTTAGAAGCTGCAGGAATATGACAGCCTGAAAGTGGTTGAGCACCTTCTGAAGAAAATCTCAAACAACTTAAAGGTGTCTGTCAGAAGTGCAGAGATGTATAGGGCCAGCAGACACGTTATGCAATTAACCAGGGACTGTGGTCCCCTAGGCCATCTTTGCACAATTTTAGTCACTGTCCACTGCTTTACACTTTCTGATTTCATCCAGACACTCATGATCTTGCTTGGTGTTTCTGTTACTCTTTGTACTTGGCAGCTACAGAAATTCTTCAGATGGACAGAATTAAAGGGGTACCTGTCTAGGTTATTATTTTAGAAGCTGTTATTTTACTGTTGCAAGAAAAATATCATTCTAAGTGTGTGCCATTCATGTCTTTTTAAGACCAACATGGTTAAAATATACAAAGAGAGCCTGACAACATATCTTCTATCTACAAGTCATTCTTCATTCCACTTGGACAAAGACACCCTGAAACATGAGCATAACATACAGAAGGAAGGTGACTGGGTGAAGGCATTTAGAAGAAAGGGAGCCATGGGTATAGCCTAGAAGGAGGGCTAAGAAGGGAGCTCTCTTCAGATGATTACTAAGAAAAGGCTCTTTAGTTTGCAGAAGAGCTCAGCAGAGATCGTATGGGGAACAACAAATACTCATTAAAACAGAGATGCATGTCCTCCTGATCCTACAGGAATTCAAAAAGGCAACACCAGCCACACACTTATTCACAAAAGTTTAGTGCAGTAGAAGCTTCCTGAGGATGGCTAGTATGAGAGTTGTAGCAAAGGACTCAAACTGAAATCAGAATTGCAGAGATCAGATTTAGACCTGATTTAAATCTCTTGAGCTGACTTCCTTTTCTGAATTTGAAACAGCATTCGCAGAAGTTGTTAAAAAGATGCACTGGCTGCTGAGGAAGTTGAATCATAGCTCTTATAAACAAAATATCCTTTTCAATTTAAATCTTTCTAACAGTGTTTCAGTAGGCACCTTTATAATTTATAATCTGCATATTTACATCTTCATTTGGCATTAATGTATTAGGTAAATACAAAAATAAATTTTCATATATGTATATATAAAATGGTGTGTCCTAATATTGGTTATGTAATATATATGGGTAGTACATGTCTGTGCATGTGCACCTCAAAACCACCTTTGTTCTGAATATTAAATATGTGAGCCTTGAAGTTTTGGGCTTAGTATGTTTTCACTTTATCCACATCATCACATTTCTTTTCACTATGAAAGCAGTGTGCAAGTATTCAAACATAAGACTAAACCACAATCTTAAGAGCAAATATACTATTTGAATTATACAAACAAAACACAACGAATAAAGACTGACCTGGGGGAAAATACAGAATTCTGAAGAAAAAATTAAGAAAAAAATTCCGTCATTAAGTACTTTTAAGAGTAGTCCATCCTTGTAAGTAGAATCCCATTTACATGTTCAGTTTAACACATTTGCCAGACATATGCGCAGATTACAGCTTACCTGTTTTATTTTAGTACTTACCCAATTTGAGAATCGTCTAATGGCCAGGTGAAAGAGGATGTGTGATTCTTTTGACTGCCTCAAGCACATTTACCATCAGCCTCAACAAGTGCACACTCTAATTTAGAAAACAAGAAATAACAGCATTTGTTAAAGGTACAGAGATAAATTGAAAATAACCACCACTTCCTCCTCACAAGCAACAGTAATAACCTGGTTTTTTGTGTAAAGGAAAATGTTGCTGTGCTGAAAAAATTCAAGCTGGAGGCGAATATGTTATTAATTTACTTATTAGCCTACCTATGTAATTAATGATATTATTTTTAAAGTGATCAAGCTAGAATCAGAATCATAATAAGCAGGATGTTAATTGTCATTGTGCTCAGAAATGTCCTGAATGATGACCTGGTTTTGCAAAGGGTGCACTTAATGTCATGCAGATGAGTAGTTTCAAGATCAATAATTTAAATCAACAAGACTGCTTAGAGTAAAACTGTGAAATGAGACAAGTAATAATTACCAAATTGATTAGCAGTTGTTTTAGAAGAAAAAAAAAATCTGTTACATGTCAAGGTGCACACAACCCAACTGTTTGTCCAGATCTGCTACCACAAAATATGCAAATGCAGGTAGATTTGTAAAATGTGGCTGCATTTGCCTGTTTGGCACAAGCATTTGCTGTTCATTTTCATGCTGTTCAAGTCTGTTGCCAAAATTAGTTGGAACTAATTTTAATTTAATTTCATGATTCCTGAATTTTAAAACCTAGAAATGTTTTTTTTCTAGACCTGGGTTTGAACACTACTTTGATATTTGCATTAGCAGGAAGGAGGAAAAAAAATAAAAAAAAGGTAAAAAGGCATGAATCTAGGCAGTCTTGTAAGATTCTAAGCTATGATTAAATTAATAGAACCCTGGACCTAAAGAAATGCAGGATGACAGATGTTCTGCTCAATCACTTTTTTCCTAAACAGACATAGCGCAGGAGCAGTGGCTCCCTAACCAGCTTCAGTTTGGTGCTTCTTTCCACTGACCACACCCAGTGAATGAAACAAAAATACTCTCTGGTGTCAAAAAGAGAAGTACTACATTTAAAGCACCATGTTGTAATGGCTCATAATCATCTAAGCAGGTACATATCATTTTCTCAATTACTCATTTTCACAGGATCCAAGGCTTTAGCTATTACCAAATACATGTGTGCATGGAGCAACATGTGTAGAGATGTAACATGTACAGAGATACCTGAAATCCCTGAAATGACAGTCCTGTTTTACTGAAATGTGCATGCATATGTGGTGAAAGCATGTTTTGATTGTTATTACTGAACACTAATCTTCACTGTTTGATGCATACAAAGCAAAAAAAAGTGTGAAATCTATCTATGATTCAAATAACTTCAGCAGGGTCACTATAAAATTAATTTTGCCTCCTTATCACTGTTTGGACTAAATCACTCCCTGTCATCACAGATCTGGAGCAGGTTGTGATTAAATCACATAATTAACATAGTTAAGTCCTTGAAAATGGTTTTATAAAGTCCAGTAACAAGGAGGAAAGAAGATGTGGGAGTTTCAGTGCAGAGGCAAGTGGTGAATACAGAAGTCCTTGTGAATCTTTCAAGACATCCTTAAATCACAATAGAGAAGTACTCTTCACTCTTTAGTTATACTTCTATAATTCATAACAATTTTCATCATTAAAACTTCACATGTTTTTAAGCCATCTTTGAACCTTTCCTGAAAGGGGCTTTGACTTCTAACTGAATTTTTGTGCTTGTTTGCCAACTTGTTATTTGCACATCAAATTGTAATAATGGAAATCTTCTAATTAACTTGAGATGAGGCTTGGAAGGAACTTTCTGGACTTTCTTAGAAAGTAAACACAAGCTTCATTTTGAAATCTCCTGTCCCTCAAGTGCTGCAAGGCGCCGTACATTTACTCCTGATAAACTGAGGCGTGTGTACTCTTTGTAGTAACATAGCTACATGTAGCAGCCTCGATCTGTTTACAGAGAACTCAATTTCTGTAAACACGGTCTGAAGAAAACCACAGATTCCTGTTCACAGTCTCTGGCAGTTTGAAACAAGGGCTCAAATCCTGTTAAAAGCAGCAAATTCATGCTGACATGTCATTGTGGGATATTTCATTGAAGCATTTCTAGTGTTTCTTTCTCATAACTTAGGGAGCGAAGAGACGGAGCTGAGCAATCTTTGTGCACTGTCTTCATTGCACAAAGACAAATGTAACACATGGCAGTCATTTAACCAGCAGATAACGAGTAACAGAAGTAGAAAATCCCTCTCCATTACAAAACCGTCTGTGACTCCAAATCACCAAGTCCATCATGATTGTAATACATATTCAGACAAGCACTTCTAGTAACAGCTTCCAACGTCTCTCTGAGACAACAACTTACCTTTGGATTACCAAGATCAGCCTGTGAAAAAACTGAATATTATCAACATATTTTCATGGAATGAGAGCCATCAAAATATACATCAGATTTTTAATGCTTAATTAAAGATAAAGCAGAGGCCGATCCTTTACAAAAACTGTTGTTCACCTTGTTCCATAATCAGGTGCTTTCTTATTTAAATGTATCTTGTGCTTTTAGTCTGCAATATATTCAATATCCAGCTCAAATAACAATCTTTCAGAAGGTGAAGCATTCACTGTTTGGTGAATTCCAAATTTACCACAAGGCACCAAGGTAGTCCAACTTACCTTTTCAACACAGTTTCTTTCAACTAGCCAGCCTACTCCACAGGTGCTTTGTGCTTCACCTTCACACTGTGGCAAGTGGAAAGAGTTTGTTCCTTTCAACACAACTATTTGTTAATCTGTGTGTCAGCTGGTTTTGGTTCATATGTTAGAACTCTGAAAGGAAATCTGGTCTCGCTTAGCTAATATGGCAATTGTGGTTTTTCAAATCTCACCACATGTTAGTTTTCTGCCACCAGTAATTAAGGAAAGAAAATATTTAAAGGTAGGGAAAGCTAAGCCATTGTCTGAGTTGTTCCAGAATCCACAAGTTTCTTCTGATGTGACACAGTATGTCATCTTTTTTAATTCTAAAAGAAAGGCAGCATGCACACCTATGGTCTTCCATCCTGATTTCATGCTCCTTCAGTTAAATTTAGATCAATCTAATCTAATTTTAAAAACTTAGCTATCAGCTGAAATTTTAGTCTCTTCATTATTCTTTTGGACTAAAAAATGTAAACTATCTATTTACCTTCGAGTTGTTTATGTTACCTATTTAATTTTCTCATCATGACCATCCTACATTGTCAATATATATTTTTTCATCATTAATTCTATCAAAATGTCCTTCTTTTGTTTGCGTATAGCTTTTCACTTCTTGTTAAACATTTTTGCTGGTTTTGGTATTTCTGTATTTAGTTTTTTGTTCTCCCTATTTCTTCCTCTTTCTTTGTTCAACTTTTCTAGATTTCTCTTATTCCCATCCCTTGTTGTCTTTATAATTCTCTTCAGCATTATATTTTGTAATTCCCCTCACTTCCTTCCCCTTTGATCATTTTTGTTCCCTTTTTATCTCACTCCCATCTGCTTCCATTATCCCCTTGCCAGATGCAGCCTTCCCCTCACATTCTGAGGTGCCAGTGACTGATATCCATCTCACACTGAGCAGCATCCATCAATGTTTTTATCACTCGGTCACCCTGTCAAGCCAGTCAGGGAAGACAGAGCCCTCCTAAAGGCCTTCTACAGCGTTTTTTCCCCCCACTGGAGCAGCTATGGCTCAGAGATTAAATGGGTGGCATTGTAAAGAGAGCACTTGGGAAGGAGCCTGCACAGTCAGTGCCTAGGGCTCGCCTCCAGCCCCAGGTGTGACTGTGTTTGGCAGGTATCACAACCCATCGCTTTTCTTCCACCAATGCACTCGATACTTATCTTGAAAATGAAGTCAGGATGAAAAAAAAACCTGATGGGAAACAGTTTGCAGGTCCGGGTAAAGATTCAAATGCTGTTTCTTGTCAGACTAAACATGGAATTTCTGAAGGAGGAGCACAGTCATAGTCAGAGCACTCCTCTGCTTCATTGCAGCATCACTTCTTAGAACCAGCTGAGCTCATAGCAGGCCTGAGTTCCAGAAAGAAGCATGAAAAGCAGTAAGTGCATCCTCCTGTTGATAATCACTGACTTCAGAGAAGCTGCTTAAACAGATTTTATTCTATTGGAGAAAATGTTGATAAACCAAAGTTGTAAATTACAAATTTTCAGTTTGAAATTCAAAAATGCTCATTTATAAAATGCACCAAGATGCACAGCTGAGTTATCATATGCTTGTTTATGTTTTTATCATTTTTTGTAGTCTCAGTTTATCAGTCAGGCTAGGTTTCCCAGCTTTGGACAGACAAAGTAGACTGTGAGTAATGTCATTCCATGGTCTAAGATCTCACAGAGGCTTAGACAGGAAAAGGAATAGAAATCATAAGACAAAGGACCAGCTTTTTCCAATTATCAATCTTAATTTTTCATCAGAATGCTTCTGGGATAGCTAAAGGCATTCTGAAGGAAAATCTGGTTTATTGAAATCATGGGGTTTTCAATTTAAGAAGAAGCTTTTTCTCGATTATGCTGTATTTGGTCTGTTTCTTACTATTCCCTTTTGACTACTTATATTAAAAAGGTGTAAGAACCATTTCTGGTAAAAGCATCTCCCCAGGTTATGCCAGAAGTAATGAAACCTAACAGTGATGAACACAATAACACAATTCCTTGTATTGCCAAGGGTGTATTGAGTGAAGATGCCAGGCACTTTAAATCTCACTTTTTTACCTTTTCAACCCAAAAGAAATTATTTTATAGACCAGAAAATACATTTGTTCCTGAAATCCCAAGAAAGAATGTGTAATGTAAATCACAATCCCTTATTTAAGGGCTTAAGATCATATAATGCTAAAGTGGATGTAAATTTTTTAAAAATTAAGTATATCACCTCAAAGAAGACAAAATATTTCAAAACATTTCCAAATAACTGCCTTCTGAAGTCAATGGTCTACTGAAACAAAATTCTGCTGAATTGTTTACAAAGTTCTAGCAGTATTTACTGCTAGAACTTTGATTCTACAGTAGAGGACAAGTGAATTTCCATGTCAGAAGTGTTGCACACATGAGACAAAGATACGAGCAGAGCTAAATATGCAGTTGCTGACATAATTCCTGTGTTTTTGATCCTGTAGTCAGATCATACCCATTGTGGTAGCATTTCTTTATTGCTTCACTCAGTCATTCACTCTCTGTTTCATGTCTCATTGAAATAACTACCAAAGTAGTTTCTCAGAGCCTGTCATCACTCTGTACTCCCAAGCATTTGCTCTTTAACCTGAATATGTTGAATTCGGTGACCTGGTTTCTTTTTAGACTTGTACTTTCTTCATATGACTCTTTTTAGCAAGAGACCCACACCATGGAATGTCCCAATGCCATCTCTCCTGCAGTGGGTGTCACGGCCTGAGTAAGAGCTAAAGAGGGTTTAAAAGTTGTTTATATACCCAGTGTTGCAACTGGATGTGCAGTATGGAAGTTTTAAGGCATCTGTGATCCCAGCTCCCACTTAAAGCCACAGATGATGAAATGGAAGAATGAAATTTGAATTTGTGTCTGCACAATATGCAGTCCCTGCATTGTCTGGATACAGATCAATTTCTTTCCTCCTGCGGGGACCAAGTTACAGCATGTGCCTTTCAGCATGTGAGCTGTGATTTTGCTGATTGCAAAGATAAACTGGAGGTGCTGGCTGGCCACTTCAATGATACAATGACTCCCTCATTTTACATCTATACCACTAACCACACCAATGATCTGAGGCTACCCAGAGAGAAACTGCTGCAAGAGATTGCTCTGCAAGGAGGAAAATCTCCTTCCAGGTCTTCTGGACAGGAGGAATTACTGCTCCCATACAGTCCCCACTGAGATGTCATTTGTGCAGGCTGGTATAGGAAGGAAGCTGTGTCCTAATCACACATCCTCTCTATGGTCAGATACTAATCAGAGAGACAATCAAACACATTGAAATAATTTTGCTTTTAACAAGTTTTAAATGTTTCAGGCACTCAATTTTCACAGCAGAAGAGCTGCACCATGATCCCTTTAGAGCATTGAGCATAGCTACTTATTTCTGTGTGGATTAGGAGGGAAAGGAAATGCACATCTGTGCCAGGCAGATGACAGGGAAAATACTTGCTGACACAGGATCCTCTGCTGTGCGCAGCTGACACATCTGTCTGAATTCATACTGCAGCAGAGAGATAACCTTTCACTTCCCTTCTAAGAGTGGGCAGCTGCTGTTATCATTTGATCTCTAGTATGCACGAAATCACTGGTGGTTAGGGCTTTAATAACATAGATTTTTCCACTTTGATTTCATAGGTGGTAAAAAAAAAGTAAAAAAAAGAAACAAAGAAGTAAAGGGAGGCACATTACTGAATGTTTCCTCCCAGGAACAACAAATTGGAAACTGCACCTGATTAATTTTGTGCTACATAGAGAATGCAAGCATGTGCTTACATCCATTCCTGAGGGATGATGCATTTTTTCCTTAAATATAATCTAGCATGCACGAAGACAGGAACTTGCCTATGCTGTGGGACAGGTATGTTAGAGAATCAACTAGCACAGCTAAATCTATTGAAATTATACTATTGGGCAACAACCTGGAGAGTGAAGAACAGTTAGCCCAGTTACTCAGGTAGAACTGTCCTGGTGACACCAGGAGCACAAGGGGACAGGTCAGTTCTGTAGGCATTCTGGCACTGATTTGAACTTCAGTGTTGGTTGGTGGGTTGACCCTGGCTGGATGCCAAGTGCCCATCAAAGCATTTCTATCACTCCCCTTCTCAAATGGGCATGGGAGTAAAAATATAATTAAAAGCTCATGAGACAAGGGCAGGGAGAGATCACTCACTGATTGCTTCACCTGGGCATCTCTAGAGCTCTTATATTCTCTCATATATTCTTATTCTTCTCTTCTTTATCTGCCATTGCTCTTGTGAAGGATTCTCACCCCCCCTTCTTAAATATGTTATCCCAGAGGCTCTGCCACCATTGTTGATAGACTTGGCCTTCACCAGCAATGCAGCTGTCTTGGAGTGTTTGGTATTTGGTCTGTTGGACATGGGAAGCTGTAGCATCCCCCACCCACCTCTGCCAAAACATTGGCACACAAACCAAATATAACCTGGAAAACCAGAAACTTGTTTATGGCTCTTATCCTTTTCAAGGAAATTTCTTCATCTGCAGCAAAACTTCTTAACAGGTTATTTCTTAAGAGTGTATCTTCCTTACTCAGTGCCAGTTCAGGTGGCAGAAACAGTACAGCCCCCCAAAGGATCTATCCGTCTTTCTCCAAGTTAGATTATTTTTGATAACTGCCCAGGCACCTTGCTCATCTCTTCATGGTATTGTCCCTGCTTGTTGCAGGGGGATTGGACTAGATGACCTTTGAAGGCCTCTTCCAAACCAAACTATTCCATGATTTTAGAATTATGTGATTGTGCTCTGTGGCACAAACATGTTCTTTACCGAGGGGGAAAGGTATATGTGTTTGTGAGGACACACTGGAGAAAGCTGGCAACCCATGGTCCTTTCTCCCCAGGATGTTTTGGTTGCCTCCACTGCTGAGATTTTGAAAAGTGAACTAGTATTAACCACATCCTGCTTCACTTCATCTTCCTTCCAGTTTGTTGGCTAGGCTCGACAGGCATCTAAATTTGCACTGGTCCATCACTCATCCCCAGTGGGCTCTCACTACTCTGAAGCTTTAGTGTTCCAGAAAGCACCACCTGAATGCTAACTGGGACACCCTCACCAGGATCTGCTGCTGCTCCTCACTGCTGCTCTCTGTGGTCCTACACAAACTCTTGGCTCTATCTGCTTCCTCCTACTAAGATGACCATTTGACAGATATGTTTCTTTCTCTTGCCCCCAAAATATTCTTTCTGTTCATGTTCAACTGACCTCACCAGTCTGTGTTTGGAGTGAGGATCACAACTCAGCTGGCAATATTTGGGACAGCATTCTTGTTCTTTCATTACTTCAGAGTCACAATATTCCTTTCGCTATTTTCAAGCTCAGTTTCTTCCAAAACACCTCTCACCTGAGCAATTGCTACCTGAAATGCTGAAGTGAGACCTGGCCCAGTTAGTAATTTCCTTCTACCTGCTGTCAGGTGTAGGGGCAGAGGGGCTGCTCCTCTGCACCTTTTGTCCTTTTGTCTCAGGCATACCTGCTCCCTGTTCAATCCAGAGTGCCAGGACTAAGTGTCCTGACTCTCAAGGCACACACCACAAGAACCATTTGCCAGACAACCTTAGTGTCAAATACACAAAACTGGAATCCAAAAAGGCTCCTCAAAGCAGTGTTGGTTACATGAGGTTTGTGTGATCTGTTCCTTGACTTCTCAACATTAGTGTGAAGGCACAGGGTCAACACATCCACAGCTAACCACTGCATTTAACACTGCAGAACTGACTCTTCAGCCCCTCCTGGGCCAGGAAAGGCTTCACACTAGTGAGGTGTCTAGGTCTCTGCCTACTTCTAAATGCAAGGATAATCTCAAAGGTGTTTTCCAGTCTGGTTTTAAATAGCATATGGGCCAACATGTCAGCTGCTACAGACACTTTCTCCCGGGCTCTAGCACCTGCCTTTCTCTCCTCATTTCTGTCTCAGTTTGGCAAAACAACAGAAAAGTGTTCATTCTCTTTTTTGTTTTGTGCTGTGTTATGTTGGTTTGTTTTTTGGTGTTTTTAAGTGAGGAATTTTCCCCATGTTTAGCAAACCAACTCTTTCCAGGATCAGGGAAAAGCCAACAGGAGCCAAGACCTCGATCCCAAATATGGTTGGGTCTTGTTTAACTCCTCTCCCTGTGCTTGTGGAACAAGGGTTCTTGTGAGAATTGTCGCTCCTATCTGCAACCAAGAGGGAAGTTCTCACCCACGTGAGTGAAGTTTGTCCACACTAACCCACAGTGACACATAAAAATCTGGAAAGGGTCCCTTAATCCTCACACTGATTGTGGAGAGAAAATGACGTCTTCCTGGCAGGACATGATGTGTCACGTGTGCCAGCCATGCCTGGGTCACCCTGCTGTAGATGGCACAGAGCAGCCCATCCTTCAGGAACACCCTTCAGCCTGTCCAACAGAAAGAGAATTCTGTTACACTGGCATCAAGGCTGGCATTCACTGCCAAACCAGGTCTCTGAGGATATCTTCATCACCCATCCCCGCAGTGGGGTGTGTTTCTCATGTCCAGGTTCACACAGCAGCCTGCTGTCAGCCAGGGTGTGTCCAGGGGGGCTGTTTTCCTTTCTGCTTTTTGACATACACAAGTGTTACATGATGCAAATTTTACTTACTGTCTTTTGGGAGGAAGGAGGGAAAATCTGCTTCGCTGTCACTAGGGCTTCAGCCTTCATGGCTGGAAAAGAGAAAGATGCCATTTCACAGCAAATGTAGGCAGCAGGACCAGAGGTGTTCTGCATCAAATGCTGCCAGACCTGTCTGACCAACCTGATCCACACCACCTGTGGCTTTAGGCTGGCTTGTATCCTTGTCAAATGATCCTTCCTGTTAAAACTTCAGTAGAGCTAAAACAGGCGAGCAGCTTTCACCAATATGGGATTTTTTCTACACTTTTCCCAGTGATTTTATGAGATGAGTACCCTGCCTCAGCTGTGCCAGAGAAAGGGATGGACTCCTACTTGTTGAGCTCAGTCAGAAGGTTCCTGGATATCCCTGAGTGATAGTTTTGTGGTCTCTTAAAGAATCTAATACAAACAAATATAACAAAAATGCTTGCACTGTGATGCCTCACTGAGTTGTATTACTGAAGAAACTATGAAAGAAGCCACACTGTAATTACTAGATTTGTGTCCTCTGCTGTTCAGATGCTACTGCCTGATAACCTTGAGTGACGCCTCAGAATTCTGAAGTTACCTCAGCTCTACAGAAGTGGAACCAATAACAGGATTAATGTCTCAAACCCAAAATTCTTGTTGAGATACAGTATTGCAAACAGTAATTTGTAATTTCCTCATCATCTGAACCAGCCACAAAGTTTCAGTAGTCAGGTAGACATTTCTTAGTGTAAGAGGCTAGTAAGAGTGCAAGAGGGTGAGAGAGAGGCTATGCCAGCAGCTGAAGAGAAGCCCTTGAGCACAAAATGAAGTTCTCAACTGCAGCCACTTTGCCTGGTTAACTGAAATGGAAGGTGAATGTGAGACTGGTCCAGTGTGAGAAAAGAGGTGTATGGCAGAGACAGTATTTTTCAGTTCTCCCTGAAGGCTTTTTTATGATTTAGAAATAACTTCTCTTTACATTAATTTTCTTTTTCCATCACTGTTGACTGCACAAAGACTGAAAAAGGCAAGACAGAATAATAGACTGGAAAATTTTTGCAAGCAACAGGAGATACATGGTTAAAAGTTATTTTGAGCTTCTGTTGATGAAGATGCCTCCTTATGAAGGTAGCACAAGGCTTTATTTTTTAAAGCTCCCCTGTGATTGTAAGTTAATTTTAAAAGCTGCTGCTTGAATAAAGAAGAAAGGAACTGCTAGAGTCCCATTTTCTATAACCCATGAACTAAGGGTGCTTTTTTTTGGAGAGGGCCTGAGAGAATTTTAAATGGAGTTAAAGTCTTATAATTCTAATAATTAGAAAATACCAGAACCATTGGAAAATACTAGATTTGTATCTTCTAATAGTCATATATACAGAGACTTTTGATTGCTTATGACTTTATCTTGTTATATCTGAGGTGACATCCTACTCTAAAAGTCTTTCATCTTCTCTCTTTCTGCGCTCCTGCAAGGCCCAGGGTGGTTTTCAGTCTGTGTTAGAGTACAGCAGCATCCAACTCACAGCAAGACTTTGAAGCTGTCATAAACAGCAGCTTTTTCATGGGCCCGTTGCCAGCCTGCTCTCCCAAGAAGGAGCTCTTCTGTCCCTCTAGCACTGCAATGCTCTGAACCTCAGACTGAAGCACAGCCCCTGCATGAGGACACTTAAGCACATTTCTGGCATGCCCAATTCTGCCCCGTAGCCCCTCCTGAAAGTTCAGCCTCTCAGTCTGCCTGGTTCCAGAATTTCTTCTACACTGCAGCTCTAATGTAC